GACACATTATTCGCTATAGTTTAGAAAATGGTAATAAAATATGACAAGAACTCAGAGTTAAACTGTGTCAGAACAAATTCAGCTTGATAATGTTAAACCAAAAATTATTCAGACAGCTGTTAGTATTTACACAACTATCAATACTTAGTTGGGCAGCCCTTAGCCTTAATGACAGCCTGTAGTCTCCTGGGCATGCGGTCACCCAGCTTCATGCAAACCTGAACTTCAATTTTTTTCCCCAAACTCGGTCTGAATAATTTTTGGTCCCAAATTTTATATTAGTTTTACTGGTAGTCCACTGTATGAAGAATTTTTGGGTATAATTTATCAGAGTTTACTTTATTTTGCTATCCTCACTTACATAAATGAACTATAGTGTCCTGCACCCACTAGTAAAAAAATATATAAAAAATTATATCTGGTCTCTGAATAATTTTTGGTTTGACTGTTTGAACAGGTATAATGTCATGATCATAAGGATGTTCTTCTATCTGCTCTTGGCAGCCTGAGCGTCTCCATAAGGGGGCTGAGATCAACAGGTGCCCATTATTGCAGTAGAGGAGGGGAGCAAGACTACAAAAGACTCAATGTTAGTCAGTCTCTCTTCCCTTAAGAAAAGATTACGTTTAGTGATCTTTATAAAGGTCAAACTTTCAGGCAATCAATGGTCATTAACATGACATGCTCTGCCTTTCTACATTTTCCCAAGTTATGGGTGATTTTCCTCTGCACTATGCTGAGTGGTTGCTAACTTGCTAGGTGGTAGGGTTTTCTGCATCATTGCTAGGTGCCGGATGCACCAGCTGTGCGAAAGTTTGTTGCGATATAAATCAACTTTTGTACTACTAAATATTTTTCTGTTGCACCATTAAACTTAGCTGAAAATCTTAATAAATAAATATAATTTCTTGTGTTTTTTTCTTTTAGCAGTATTTACGGCTTGCAATTAATTTCAAATACAGAGTCTGAATGTTATTTACATACGAAAAGGCGCCGGATGCACCAGCTGTGTGAAAGTTATTTGCGATATAAATGGACACAAAGTTACGACTTTTGCACTACTAAATATTTTTCTGTTGCACCATTAAACTTAGCTGAAAATCTGAATAAATAAATATCATTTCTTGTGTTTTTTTTCTTTTAGCAGTATTTACGGCTTGCAATTAATTTCAAATACAGAGTCTGAATTAGACTTGTGCCGGTATTCGGTAATGCGGTATATCACGGTAATGAATATGCACGATATTGTTATCGTGGGCTCTTCTAAATACCGTGAATAATTATATATTACAAGTTATTCAGAATTTTGAATGCATTTTAAGAATACTTTTCCCATCAACTGGTCAAAATGCACAACACCGCTGTATGCTGCGTGAAAGCTGCGTGCGCACTCTATTAATCGCAACATGAAAATTTGATACCGGCATATCCCTAGTCTGAATGTTATTTACATACAAAAATACTTATTACATTAACTGTGTTTTAGTGGTAACTTACTACATGAGGCAAGCAGGATAAACTCACAGCATAAATTCACATAATTTCAACACAACTCCAGTGCACAAAGGACAAACTAGCTAGTTTGTGGAGGTGCTTTGCTTTTCCTTCTAGCACTTTGCGTGTGTTGGCATTGTATCATAGTGCATGCATGTGTGCACTGAAGCGTGTGTATGCCAGCATGTTTTTAAAGACTGCATTCCTGAGATTGCTGAGCCGTATCCTGAAGATTAATTGTAACTGAATTGTGACTGGGTGATTGTTTAAGAGACCAGATCCAGTGACCTGCTTTCTGTCCAACACATACAGAGCTATCCAGTTACAAATTAGGGGGTCATCATCATGTGTTTGTGCATTTATACTAGTTTTATACTAGCTTTTTTTTATATAATTTTTTCTCTTACAGCAATTTGACCATTCATTACAGCTATGTAACCAAATCAAAGATTAAAGGCCCATTCACATCAAGAACAACAATAATAAAAACAATAACTATATTAGCATCCATGCCAACACACAATAAGATTAAGTTTATCCTAAACATGCTGTAGTTTTGTCATCTACTGCTTTAAATGCACAGGCTTTTAAAAATGGGTGGATCCTGATTGGCTGTGTCAATATTTAAAGAGATACTGTAGTTCACTCAAAAATGAAAATTCTGTCGTTAATTACTCAACCTCATGTTGTTCCAAACCCGTAAGACCTTTGTTCATCTTCAGAAAACAAATTAAGATATGTTTGATGAAATCTGAGAGCAACTGACACGTTCAAGGCCCAGAAAGATAGTAAGGACATTTTTAAAATAGTCCATGTGACATCAGTGATTCAACCTTAATTTTATGAAGCTACAAGAATACTTTTTATGTGCAAAGAAAACAAAAATAACGACTTTATTCAACAATTTCTTCTCTTCCATGTCAGACTTTGATGCACATTCATGATAATACAATGACGCATGCATGTGCATTCCTTTGCTTGTTTTCTCGTAGTATTCTTGTAGCTTCATAAAATTACGGAATTTTCATTTTTGGGTGAACTATCCCATTCAACATCAATCCAGAAAAAAATAAAACAGACCACACAGATTTAGGGCCCTATTATTGTAAAATGAATAAATAAACAATTAAATAAATAAATAGTTGCCATTTTAGGACTTAAATCGATTAGGCATGCTTTTTGCTTTTTAAAATTTTATGAAACCATTAAAACAGAATCCAGAAAAATTTAAAAATAAAACATTTCATAGGGCCCAAAAATGTCATTTGTATTAGACTTTTAATTAATTGTTGTTAAATTGTGTAAGTGTCATTATTTCAATTAAGAATGTATCCATTGAAACGGAATTCAGAAAAAAAAATTGAGAAAAAATAATACAAATTTCATAGGGCCCTATAAATATCTTTTAGTTGTCACATTTTTATTGTTGCATACCCTCATAAAGCTCAGTTTACAAATGAAACATGAACAAGTAGGTTAAAAGCATTTTGTGGAGCGAGACAAGTGTAATTGCTGCATAAGCAGCTGGACAATGTATTTTCTCAGCTTTAAATCGAGGCTGACAGACTAGGAGCCTGTTGTGCTTGCCCAGATAAAGTCATTGGGATTGTATTTGAGTATTAGTGGTTTGGTCCGTGAGTGTTCTTGCTGTGGTATCCTAGCGATGCTCAGCTCTGGAATGCGAAGACGGGGTGTGAAGTGCAGCTGTGTTGTCGCTTCCTTAGCGACTCTGACATGCCATTGGCTGGCTGCCTCACAATGCCTTCTGATTGGCAGGACCTATGATCCGTTTGGATCACTGACTGATGATAAAACAAACAAGAGGCCCAAGACAGGGATCTTTCTTCATAAAGTTGTATTTTTGATTGCCAGATTGTTGTTCATTGCTGAGTCTTGCCAGTATTCTGGCAACAGAATATTCTGAATCAAGCTGTTTCATACAGAAGATTGCCGTTAAGGAAAGCTGCATGATTTCGTAACTTATAACCTTGCAGTATAACCAAGATAAACTAATGACAGTCAATCTGCATGATACAAGCTGAGTAAAATACATTCTGTAGCCCTTTCTGAGAAATAGCTGAACACATCCATGTTCACAGAGTTTGTGACTGAAAGTGTGACAATTTACACTCTTTAATGAATGATGGAGTCTGGCAGGTACGGGTTTAACACATCACAGATTAACAGCGGTTTAGCTTCACTCCGAGGAAAACACTGGCAGAATTGTTTTCGGAGAAAATTTTACTAACAGGAAACTTGACAGCCTGGAATTCCATCCAGGTTCACTTTAGAGGCATAAGCCATTTTTTACGGATACAGAATATTTTGAACTAGTGGGACTAGTGAAAATGAAAATCCGGACTTTACTTATTCAACTTGTTTATTCATTTACCTCGTTCCAAAGTGTTATGCTGTATTTTTGTGTGGAAAACTAAAGGAGAAATTTCAAAGTGGCCTTTAAATGAGAGAAGTATTCGAAAGAGCAGTATTCAGTTGTTGCCTCTGGTAGGGAGTAAACACACTCAAGCATCATATCACTCACAGTCATCATGTAATGTTGTTCTATGTCATGTTATATTATTATTTTTTCCCCCAAATTATTTTTTTCTGTTTACATTTTTCTGGACTCCCTTTTTTCCCTGTTTGAATTTTTCTGAATTTAATTTAAATTGAGTACATCTTTAGTATTTTGTGTGTGCGTGTGTGTGTTTTATTATTATTATATTATATTTTATTTTATTTAAATTGTATTTTATTTCAAGTATCAAAAGTGTTTTTACATTTTTTTTGTAATATTTGATAAAATATTTAGCTAAAAATATAGAATCAAATATTTGCAGTCTGGATATTGTTTAGAAAAAAAATCATACTAATAATTTAGAATTTTTGGTGAACTTTTTCTTTTTTAATTTAAATGTTATAGTTTTAAATAATGTAATTTCAGTTTCGGAAGACTAAATATAACCCTACTGCCCTTAATAAAATAATTTCAAAGATCAATGAAAGTTTACAAAGAAAGTTTAAATGCAATGAAACAATGAAAGTTTAAATGTCTTTTTCTTGTATTGTCTCTCACTCCCTCTTTTCCTTTTTCCCCTTAATTCATCTTCCTCATAGTTGTGTTTCTTCACTACTTTGATCACTTTTCCTCTCTCTCTCTTTTTCCATTCTCTGTCTCAGATTGTAGGTGTTAGTCTGATGCATGTATACTGGGCGCATTTCAGGATCGTGTCAAGTCATCGTGGTAACACAGGGCAGGGGCAGCCTGCTCAAGTTTGAGCCTGTCCCAGAATGCACCAGCTGTTCCGTCTAGTGCTGGGACAGAGAGACCTGTCCCGTGCAGGAGACCTCTTCTCTCTGGATGACAGTGAGATTGAAGACTGTCTGTCCCAAGCCCTGGAGGAAATCAAAGTCATATCCTGTTCACCAGTGAGTACTTCGCTCCCAAAATAGTAAATTCATGACACAACATTCTTAAATAATTTTAAAGAGGTCAAAATTAAAAAAATAAAAAATCTCCTATAATTTTACTACAATGGTGTTGTTTTTTCATGTTTTTTCAATGTTTATTTTTGTATAGTTAGTATTTTAATCATAATTCATGTTATCATTAACCCCCCCCCCCCCCCCCCCCACCCCCCCCCCCCCCCCCCCCCCCCCCCCCCCCCCCCCCCCCCCCCCCCTTGCATTAATTATCACAAAAATACAGGGATAAAAGTTTAAACTGGTAAACTATGGGACAAGTGATTTTTTAAAAATGTATTTGTCATTGAAACTTTAAGAGATTTGCTATAAAAAAAAAAACTTGCTGATTAGAAGTAAATATTTTTAGTAAATATTTTTCAATAGACTGCATCAATTAACATTTTGTCAGACTCTAGTACATTTCATGTTATTTGGTTTGTCTATTCATTATTGTGGGAGAACATATTACAACTGTATAGATTCTGTTGTTTTTTTAAAAAGAGATTACAGAATTCTCACAATCTGAACAATCTATGTCATCAGTAGCAAGAATTCCAAGTACAAGCGATAAATTGAGCAGATGTACCTCGGAGGCTCATAACAGCATTGACTAAGTTTGGATACAGTATTCAGACACCTGCACTTAAAATACTAGTTCACATTTCACAGTAACTGTTTAGTGTGTAGTTGACATGGATCAAGGTGACATTAATAATATCTTCCATCAGCTACACATCCTATTGTTTTGAACCTCCTGTCGGTCACGATGGGGAAAATTATATTAATAGAGATGATTTTCCAGGAATTATGTTCATAGTCGAATTTGAAGACGAGCATGGCCTGTTGATGCATCTAGAAGTACGCTTACCACGTTACATGACCGCGTTTAACCCAAGTATAGGTTTGATGCGTACTCGAAGAGCTCTCGGGGAACTTTTATTGTATCAATGGACACCTGACACTGAATATAGTCCTTTGGTCTCCATGCTGACCTGGCAAACAGATGTCTGGGGTGTAACTGCATGCTGCGGGTGAATCCTCGACCCTTGGGTTTTATCCTTTGTATACTTATAACCCACCAGCAGCACGTGGGGAGATCCCTATGGATGACGAATAGCCTGGACCTTCTCACCAGGTCAACCGTGAGGCCAGCCCAGGAGGATCCAGAACACCTGCAGACCAAAGATTAGACAGGGCGGTAAAAGAAAAAGGAAGACTTCTGGGAGGTCAGAAAGCCGAGAATGGAAAAGGAGGAGATCAGACCATCATTCTGACTCTTCATTTGATTCCCTCATCTCTGGGGAATCACTTGGAGAGACATCCACTGATGATGACCAGCCTGGATTTTCTCACAGAGACAACAGAGAGCAGGGTTCCCACGCTTCTTGAAAGTACTTGAATTTCAGACATATGGATTCAAGGCCTGGAAAGTACTTGAAAACAAACATAGGTCCTTGAAAGTGCTTGAATTAAATTTGAAATAAATTTTGTTTATGGCGCTATTTAAAAAAAGTGTTCTAGATGTTCTGTCAAAGACCGAACAAGCGGCACTAATGATTGGGGGTAGAGATGGGGGAGCGCGAAAAAAAACCCGCGTGTGTTGACGCGCAGCCTAGAGACCTGAGCGGGACAGTTTTCTTAAGCCCGCTCCCGCTGAATTTCTGACCATTACCGCCCACTCCCGCAACGTGTGTGTCACGTTCCCGCAAACATTCTTATTGTCTTATTATATATATTGCATCAACGAAAATAGTTCCAAATATAGTAACGGCTGAGCCGCTGCGCATCTCTGAAAGCAAACACAGTCGAGTTTCATTCATGAATGAAAGTGCGTTTTTGAACGAATCTAGTGAGTCAGTGATTCATGATTACCCATACATAAAGATTTCATTCCTGAATGAATCAGCTGTTCAAACGAATCAATTGAATGAATGATTCAGTGATAAAATCAGTGACTTACCGCCACCTGCTGGTGGATTTAGTTTCATTTTTAGCGTATAATTTCAGTTATTTAAATCATTTAATATTTCTGTATTCAGAATTGTATATTTAAAACATTAATCTCCACATGAATTTATGAATTTAATTGCACTCATGCCACCGCTTTAAATGTCT